ATGATGATGTCTTTTTCCCTACTCAAACATCCAGTTTTAAGATCTACACCTGGATCTACACTGAGGAACCATGGAAGTTGGTTACGTGAATTTGTGCCTCACCATTTTAGCAATATGGCGCTTAATTATTTAAAAGTTGTTTTTGATCATTTCCCCCTACTGATGCATACTCATTGTCAGTTGGTTCCTCAATGTACATTGTGCTCGTCGAGTGCCCCTACGAGACATAATGGAATAATGCATGACGTTAATAAGCTTTATATCATATAATTATCTATGAAATACCTATATTTCTCCATTTTGTAAAATTGATATTTTCACTAGTGAAAATAACATGTTATTTTCACTAGTGAAAATATCACATCTGAAGTTTCTGTATTTAGTGGAAGTAAGAAAAAAGATATTTTACGACATAATTTGCTTCCATATGTAATTATATGATAAACAGAATATTACATGGGCGCGCGGAGATACGGATTTTATCTTCGAGTGTTGAAAAGATCTCTCACGAGTGAGCGTAGCGAAGAAGATAAAATTCGTATCTCCAAGCGACCATGTAATATCCTCTATATACACTGAATTAGATCAGTTACTCAATTCGATCTTTCCAAATACATTTGCTGATGATTCTATTATTCACTTACCGGCGCTATCTCGGTTGGAAGCTCTTCCCTGGTGTTTGAGGTCCTATAAAAACAAAAATGTCAATATAGTGAATTTACTCAACTCATTCTTTTATACTGTGAATCTTTGGAAATTGAAAGGGAGGCCAACGAGCTCCTGAGAGAAATATCAAAATCCCATTCAAACATCGCATAATTAGAACAGTTATTTGGACGAATAGACATGGACGCCTCCGCCTTTTTTTAGGGCCTGTTTTTATGGAGATCCTACTAGGAGGGTCAACCTATTAGAACGGTTAAATCATAGCTCTCCTTTACATGGAAACTCGACAAGCGAGGTAAACCCGGGATAGGGCTATCTGCATTGCTGCCTATTTGCGATATTCTCTGCTTGAAATCTTCGGAAATCTTCGTCAGCTTTATACGCATGGGACGCTATATTTTGATCCTTTTATGTCTTGGCGCGTTACAGTTTGAGCGCAAAATCATGTAAGTTTGACGTAATTTGACGCATTTCCAGATAATCCTCACCCAAGGTCACCCTACTCGAGCGTCTACATCGCGAAAAGGTAGCTCTCCCTACCTGACATGAAAACAAAACACGAAAAACAATAAAGTAGGGTCACCCTAGGGGTAGAGTGATGTAAATAGGGCCTTAATCTTGTAAACAAAACTCCAGAAACGCTAATCAAGTTCAAAGGTGGTTATATGCATCGATGATGACCTTTGAAATTCATATCTCACAGCCTTAATATAGGGAGCCTGTATAAAGCTCACAATTGGCCCTCATGCATATAGAAACAACTTATCAGAACTTATACTCTACCCGTTGATAATGGCCGCTTAGGCCGAAAGCTCGGTATTAAAAATATCACTAGTAAACGCAGAGGATTCATTTATCTTTAGTAACTTATAAGAAATTTGCTTTTCTTTAATAATGTCGTAATTGTGTGTCTTAGCAAAGTGCATACTGGTATTGTTGAACGTATGAAGACTGCGGATNTTCATAACTCAAAATAGTGATTAATATAAATGAAACAGATGAACGAATGACTGAAATGAACGATCACTTACCGTGAAACTGAAACACTGTTTGACTTGGACCATGGAAACCATCTACTGCTAGCCTTCGATTACCGATTCTTTTCTCTGTATCATTCACTTGATGACGGATTGGAATACCACGCCTCTCAGATTCCCATTCTAGCCACTCGGTCGCCAACTTAACGGAACTTTCTCTTTTAAACCCATTCTCCTCTCTTCTTCTCACATAAGCTCCAGTAGGCATTTCTTGCATTATCGCCCACAGGTAGAGAGCATTGGCATCGTAGCCGACCACATTTTCACATACTTTCGGTTCTTTCCCTTGTTCTTTCATTTCTATTTCACGGATCTTGGTTTGGCCAGCATCGTGGTATCGGTGGAAAATAATGCTTGGCCCACCAACCATGTTACTCTTGAAGGAATAGTAAAGATCTTTGTTCTTTTCATCAAATAGGGAGAAGAAGATGCCTGGTTCCAGTGTCATAAACAAGTAGGTTAGAGTAACTCCTGGAATGGAGATGCCTTGTCGCAGCATATCGATTCTCTTTTCTCGCCAGAAGGTTGACATTTTGTCCAAAGCATCGCAGAAGGGCACCACATCTCTGTTGTTATACCAAACCAAGAAGTCACGAAATGTTTGCATGTTATTGTCGGCCCAGACCTGTTGGCAGTAGGCATATTCTTCAGCTTTAATATTAGAGTTGGTTAGTGATGAGTAGAAGGCTTCGTGAGGCGGTAGTCCTGTACATTCGAGCTTCTCCAGGGAATCCATCCACTCGTATGGGAAGAAACCTAAAGAGCAAAAGAAATGAATAGGTTTAGAAGTTAAAGAAAAAGTGAGAAATATAGCATGAAGAAAATAAAACGAAAAGTAAACGACAAAAAAAATACTTATACAACGACAGATGAAAACAAACAAATATAAATAATCAATGGAAAAGTGTAAACACTTTAATAGAAAAAAAATTAAATAAGTAAAAAAAAATAATAATAATTAAAACTCATCATAAAATAAAAATGGAAATAAAAATAAATCGATGACAATTGAGAAAATTGACAATAAGTAGAAAATATAATTACCTTTGGTTTGGGGGCAATCGTAAGCTTTGAGAAATTTGTCATAGCTAAATCCTGGTGCTATAAAGTTGACGATATCCAGAAATCGAAGATGTTCTGTTTTAAGGCACATACAGTTGTTGTTCCGTTTGATGGCAAACTGGATTTGTTCCATCTCGGTTAAGACGGGGAAAGGAAATTGCTTAGTAGCATTCAAATCGTACTTTCCAGAGTTGAAACCAACCACAGGCAGCTCTTTCAAGTAATCTTCAAGTCTGACCTGTTAACRTTAAATGGAAGTGTTATAAAATCGTCAAAAACTTAAAATAAGTTAATATACCATAATATCCAACAAAAGTAATAAAAATATCATATCTGGTAACATACGGCAAAATATTATATTACAAAATATAATCTTTTATGATAATATCATAATTGCATACCTTCAGTTTCACTAGAGGGTGCTGTCGTTTCTTTTCTTTCTTGTTATCAACACTGCGTTGCACGGTTGGGAACCTTTCACCAAGCTCCTGGTCCAATGCTCTGTAAAAGGCGGGGTCGTAATCATCATCATCCACTGAATTGTCATCAATGAAGGCGCGGTCCTCTTCATTCTCTGATTCTACTTCTTCATCATCGTCATTATCACTATCCAGCACATCAATATCACGATCATTGTCATCACCATCGTCATTATCATCATCATCATCGTCGTCGTCAGTTTCTAAGTCGTATTCGTTTTCAGTTGTTTCTTCCTCATTTGGTTCTCTATCTTTTATCTTTTGATCAATCGCCGTCAATACATCAGCAAACTGTTCTTTTATCAGTCTGTTACTTGCCTTGCTTATCGTTACCAAGTACTCTACCATTTCTTGGACTAGTTCTTTACTATCACCGTTAGTGATAAAACACTGAGGCTGTTGGTATTGAGGGACGTTTGAACAAACGCTGACGCTAATCGGCACATGTTTTGCTTGCCATGATAACTTATCGCTGTTCTTAGGTAACTGTTCTTGACTAAACATACACTCAAAGTCAAACGTGGCCCGGTAGGGAAAGAAACGAAGATGATCAGGAATGGCGATGCCTTCATCTTCTAGTAAATCAAAGATGGTTTTGGGTGTTTTATACGTACTGCCAGGGAAGCTGTAACGGACCTTGGCTTCACACTTGAGTTCATGGCGGTTTAACATGAAGCCGTCTTTCCAGTATTTCCCACATTTAGAACATTGGTAAGACTTGGAATATCGTGCCAGGCTCCTGATGAATGAGAAATGATCATTGTATAGGTTCAGATTCAGTGTGGTAGGGAAGATGTGATGAGAACGCTGGACCAGCCGAGCGATGATTTTAGGTCGGAGATCCCTTTCTTCATTGCACTCAGGTTCTAAAGAATAGACGGCAATGTTAAGCTGAAACAGCTTCTCTAGCTCAGGCAAATCTGTCAATTTTATTCCTTGGAAATCTTGAACTTGCGGAAAACATTGCCAATATCTGTAATAAGTATGATTAAACGTCTTTAGTCATATGTTGAAAAGGGAATTCATGACTGAATACAACATTTGAAGGCAACAATGTATAAGAGAATAACTATGAATGCTTATTAATTGAATCTTTCCATTAATTGAAATAAAATAACTCACCGCTCAAATAAGGTTTTAGTATCTCTTTCTAAACTCCTGACATGGCTACCATTATGCAGGGCGAGGCATCGAAAGAAGCAAAGWTKATCATCGTATGGTTCACCAGTTTTATCYTTACAATCCAGTGCGATTAAGCCTCTGTTGTTCATAATGTACTCTGGAAGAAGACCAGATCTACCGATGGGATGATCACGGATCTTGGATACAAAGAAGGTCACGTTGGTTATTACATCAACCACCCATTTGCTGTTAGGACGCTGTTGGTTGACCCATTCTGCAATATCGAGTTCATGGATGGTATCGGCTACTCTGTCAATGTCTCTCACGTTACCGATAAGGAAGGGCTTATCAAACACGCGATGGTTGTTATGGGATGCATGGTAGTACTGGAGGTCGCCTGTCTCGGTGTTACGCAGAACAAACCCAAAGGACATGTTCAACCAGAATACAGTGGTTTGATCAGCTAATANAATGTCGTAATTGTGTGTCTTAGCAAAGTGCATACTGGTATTGTTGAACGTATGAAGACTGCGGATGATATCAAATAATATCAATGAAAGACGAAGTTCTTTGGAAGATTCAATGCTATTCACAAAGTCGAGAATCCTAATACATTACAGTGCTTGTTGGATAGCATCTTTTATCTAGTAAATTTTTGTCAGGCCCATTGTGCATTTTGCCATGTCATTAAAGGACAGGACGATTGTAATATCATATATTACTTACATTCTCCGGGTCTTATAGAGTATCGTTATGATAATTGTCACCACGACAACAGAAGCAACGCCAACCGCAATGGCAATGATGTTTTCACTCTTGAAGGTTTGCGCTTTTCTTGCTACGTTTTTCTGTACATCTTAAAAGAAAATTCATCAGTCAAGATCATCATCAAGCCACTAGGCAGTAAATAAGAAAAAAAGTCGAAGAAGAAGAAAAAGAGGTACGTAAAGGGGCATAGTTCACCGGCATCCCTCTCGAGCTTCTGTTTATTTCTGAAGGGAAATGTACATCGTAATATAAAGCAATTATCTATATTCCATTCATGCTATCAATGAATGGAGATTAGACTGAAGATTAGACATTAGACTGAGCCACTGGATGGAGGCAGATAACGACTGGATTTTTGAAGTCACCTCAATTTCCGTATTTGAAATATCTACAACACGATCTAATTGATTTGAATGTTGGTAGACAATGGCTCTTTAGAGAAGGTGAAGCACGCAATACTAGCAACAAGGACGTCATACTAGTAACAAGGACGTCATACTAGTAACAAGGACGTCATACGATTTCCAAAATTGAGGTAAAGAGATGTGCGTAGCAGGCTAACTTGCTATCAGACATAAATAAACAAGTAGCATTTGATTTATTTGTGATCACCTTGCATGGGATGAACGCGGGACCAGGGACTCCATCCAGAAGCAGTGCCCACTTTGACACGACAGCAAAACGTTTTGCCATAAGGCAGTGGGACAGTGACATTGATATCGCCTCTCTTGATATCTTCGGCTGAGATGTTGCTAATCTTTGTAATAGTTCTTTTGTAGACAATTGAACAGTTGATAGTACTTCTCCAAATGTTTAATTCATACATGACGAGACGGCCGTTTCGTGTGTTACGCAGAGGAAGCTGCAACATTTGACAATAATATGAACAAGAAATCCAAAAGGAAATGCGAACAATTTTCGTTATAAATGATGAGTGAAATTGAAGGAGCCTGAAATGTTTTCAAAAGGAGAATTTAATCTGTAAATCTCGATTTTTCTCGCCAAGAATGTTTGTTTACAAARAAGGACTCATTCATTTTCCTAATAAACCTTTAATCCCGGCCTTTAATTGTTTTAGGCAATAAAATAGAGCCTTCATCGAACTAATATCTAGCCTCACAAATTCAAATTTACAAGCTGTAAAACAGGGTTTTGAAAACCTGTCCATATTTAGAGATTTCCGTTTAMGAGAGCTTACGCAAATGGAGATCCAACTGCATTATGAGACGCCCAAAGATCAGCCGTTGTTTGGTCTATTGGAAATGATGGTTGATGGTCGTCATTTGAGCAWTTTTTTGAATATCGGATACTATAAAAATGAAATGATCCAGAGTAGAACTTGTCCATTCCCGTAACAGGACCTTCTCACTTTCCCAATGGAAAATCGAAAAAAACTCTTGTTGGAGACGAATGAGTCTTTGGCTCAAAAATCCCCATGCGCCATCAGTGTACATATATCGTACGACCCAGATTTTAGGTCTTCCGGTATCGTCTCAACCAGAGCCTTCGATTTTCCATTGGGAACTGAGAAGGGGAGCAAGGATGGCCGAGCGGTTAAAACGCCGGTCTATCACCGCTGTGGTGCTGGTTCGATTCCCGGTCCGGGAATATATGTGATTTGAGTTTGTAGGCTGGTTCTCTTCCTTGCTCCGACGGTTTTTCTCCAGGTCCGCTGGTTTTCCTCCCTCAGTCAAAAACTAGCTGTGAGGAGTGTCKTGTGGTAAAATAATGAATGTTGAGGTAGTGAGTGTGTGAGTGAATATATAGAGGGCCACAAGTTTATTAGTCTCGAAACTATTACGTGCTACCCTCTCAAAATAAAAGACTTTATTTATTTATTTATTTAGGATTTGGGTACGAGAATGAGAACTTGCCTAATTTGTACAATGTAATGAGTTACCTTGAACTTGATTTTTAGGGTTCCTTTCTCCAATAGTGCAGTCGTAACTATRGGAGGCTTGGATGGTGCTGGAAATACACAAAGACAGTTCGAACAAACAATATTTATTAAGCTATATTTATAAATTTAATATTCGCCCTTTACTCCAGTATAACTTCATAGCCTTTTTATCTTTGTGTTATTGTTAAGTGGTACGCACCAATGAATTCTACTAACCTTCTTCGAGTGTTCTGGCAAAATATTTCTTAGACATAGGACATCTTCCTGGATTTGTCTTGAAAAAGCAACACATATGTACCTGATATAACGTTCCCGGATATAAGTTCTCAATATTATAGAGATTATCTTTCACAGCGAACCCTTTCATGACATCAGTGATTTCATGAGTAATTGTCTGAAAGATTAAAAGAGAAATGATTTTTATGTATATCAGTAAATAGTTTTATAAGTTCTGGCCAGCAGAGTGCTATCGTTGAGTCCCTCCCAGCTAGCAGGGTTTTAGGGATTTTTGGTGTGGTCATCATAAGTGCAAAACTGGTGCACAAGAAGAATTAAAAGACCTTGGACCTAATCTTTTCTGGTATTGCACTGACACTAAGTTACTGACTTCAGTGCGTTTCAGGAAAACCGAAGCCACTATGACTGTGATGATTGTGGATGTAGAGCCGACTGAGGGCCGTATTTTACATATAACGGGATCCATGCACCCAATAATTTCATTTCATTACGACCATAGAATATTGTTATAACCAATTTAACAAATGTTGCGAACTCTTCCACCCATGAATCAATGAAAACAGTATCAATCTTACTGATCTTGATTTCTCTTGTAAAGTAAATATTTACATCTATTATTTCAAAACTTCTAATTTCGATTTTTATCCAAAAAATGCTTTGCGTGAACACTCAAGACTGACTAAAGACTACAGGATTCACAAGGCGTTGGTAGYCATATAGGTATTTTTAGTTACTGTATTCAGTACCTTACAACGACTTTGGTTATAAKAAGTACCTTGGTGCAAAGAAGAGCCTTAAATTACTTAGGCTAATGTCGCTTGGAATCCGTCCTGGATCCGAATCAATAAATTTCGAATCAATTAAAAATGAGATGGGATTTGGAATCCCTTGAAACCCAACAAAGWAGCGGATTATGCCGTCAGGGGACGAGAAATYAATTCAAGAAGAGACTTAACTACCTGCAAATCTTCTGAAGTAGATGTCTTTACTGGTCTATATGCAATCTTGAACCCTATATCGAGAATAGCGTACTTCCCAGTTATGCACTTTGGTGCGTCATAAATGACGTTCAGTGTTCTCCTTAGGGAAGCTTCTATGTGAACATTATCAGGTGCTGGACAAGTATCTGAAGATAATAACACAATGCATCTTGAAAAGGTCGTCCACCTAAAAAGTGATTTTTCAATGCTCCAATTGTCGCGTGTCTGGATATATTTTTATAGTTTCTGTACGTTAAACATTGCAGTAGTATCGATCGATAGGCATATGAATTTTTAAGATCGCCTTGTCATTTCTCCACTAAAACACCTGACATCACTTTACACAAACGAAGGGAAGTCAGACTAATTTGCACTGGAACATTTGGAAACGTATTATTAGGTGGACAACATTTTCAACATCGGCTGTGGGTACATATTTCATAGATTTGGGGAGAATGAATGTAGCTGGACCCGGACGTTAAAAAAAAACCAAACAAACAAACAAACAAAAGATGAAATCCAATGAATGAGGAAGAATGAAAGATGAAGATATTGAAACAGAGAAACAAAGATGGAGATATAGCTATTTCAAAAAAGATTGTCGGATAAAATGGCGAATGTCAATTGTTGAACGGCCATTGCATGACCGAAAGTAGCCATGCGTTTTGCTAATTAATGAGAAATAATAGCTGATTTGTACTGCACGATGGTCTGTGGTAAACATTGGTTCCCTTAGTCTCCATTTCTTTGCAAGATGAATCCAATAAATGAAATTATGTTTATCAAAGCAGTGTGAAACCATAGTTCTTTTCGGTCGTGCTTTTTCTCCCTTTGACAATCCCCGTTCGCCGTTCTCCCCGACAACGTTTTTTGCAATAGGTATATTTAAAATATTGGCTAAGGAACACGTAAGACGGAATGTGTGATATTTTGCTTGAGTGTTGTTTGAATGAATAGGTGGTAAACACTACTAATACACTATTGTGTGGGTATTAAACCCATCGAACAAGTCTCGCCATGCTCAAAGACATTTTCCTTGAAAAACGTTCCACGTTTCCAAGCGCTTTCAATGAGCTTCAAAGCTATATTCGCTACACGACTGAGAATGAAAGTGAATGATTATAATTATATATGTCAATCCCAAGATTCTTTGAAGGCTCAATACTATGGACTGTGTCCTGTCGACGACAACGTTTTTTGAAATAGGTGTACATTAATTGATATATTACTTACTAAGGCAGTGTGAATCATAAGAGTCAACAAATCCAGAACATTCATTAAAGGTATACCAAGTTTTGTTTTGAAGTCTGGTTTCTTTGACTATACATATAGTTTCTTGACGTGCAAACTTGATACCCAAATCATAGAGAGATTTGTTGCCCAAGATACAGTGGTGTATGTCACCAGGTTTATAAGACCTTGTTGTGCAATGTGGATCGCCCAACTGATTGGTATTCAAGATCTTCGAGTTACATACTTTGTGACTTGACAATTTATAATAATATATGCGTTCCAATGTTTGGTTGCATAATGATGTCCAAGTGATATTGATTTTACACACTGGTTCTCCAATCAGGTTTATGGTTATCTGTGCATCCCTAGRGTTACCACATTTAGTATCACCTGTAATACGGAAATGGGAAATCAACAATGATCCAACGACTTTGTCCGATATACAGTATTGTCTTGCACTATAAGCTAAGAGTCAATAAAAGTAAATGAAATGAAAAAAAAAAACAGATTCTGTTTGATATTTCTTTATGTCRGATTATAAAAAAWTTTCTAAATTTCATTTTGTGTAAGAGTTTAAACTCAAAGTACTAATCTTTTACGCACTAAAACACCAGGATTTTTAAACTCTTACACAGAATGAAAGTCCAATAACAGAAAAACTATGCGAATTATTAAAAAAATGTAAGTTCAAATGTAAAGTTTCAAAATAATGCCGACAAAAAAAAAAAACAGTCGGGCATTTGGGCATTTTTACATTTTGGTTGGGTATAAGGCACATTGTCGGGCCAGGTTGGAACCACCCAGCATATTCTACAAAATTCAAAAAAGATCTGATTTTACCAAAATGAATGAAAATTGTCAGACAACTGTAACATTTATGAATATTCAACAGCAGTACTAGTACTATGACGGGTTYGTTGTACCAACAGTTGTTTCTGACAACTTCACACTGAGATATGGTTAACAATAATAATAATTTTCGTCGATCAGTTATTGTCAATTGACACTGTGTAACATACTGGTTGTGTTCAAACTGCATTAAATAATGTCTAATACGTTCAGGCCGTTAGAGCAGCAACTGATTCTTTGAGCCCATCGCCATCTTCGTTCAGCGATCATCAAGTTTTGTTTAAAGTAAACTTCGAAATACTTAAGGCATAATTTGATTAAGATTCCCTCGGCATTTCTACAGAGTGAAATAACGTCGCGATAAAATACAAATATGTCTGATGGCAAATAAAGAATTCTTTCTCAGCTTGATGGCACTGAGTGATGACAGCCGATGTTCGGCTTTCACTACGAAATGATATCAAATCAAAATGTTATCAATATATACTGCACTTCGTCCTAACATTTAGTATTAAAAAAAATTATAACAGCCACGCTACTGCTCTTTTCACACACACACCAACTTAACCAAGATCTTTATTAACCAAATTTGACACCAACGCAGCGGAAACGAAGTTTGAAAACACAACTAATCGACCATTAAAAAGTTTCATAAAGTTGTTAATTTTCGGAAAATATGAGCAATCGGATACCAAGAAAGTTTAGTTTCGAATAAGCACTAATCTAACTGCTACTTACCAGCGATTGTTAAGCCAAATAGCACGATAGCACGAAGAAACAAMGASAAAAGTGTTGTRTGAAAACTGCTCATCGTCTGCTTGCTGATCAAAAACAAATATACAGAAGTCCTTGGAATTCAAATTATCTAATTATCATAACAAGAAAACGGAAATACAACGCAAGTAATGATTTAAGCAGAATTAATATAAATGCACAAAAAAAAATATAAAAAAGAGAAAATAAGGTCATACAATCATTGACACCAATAATGGAGAGTAAATTTTAAACTATGCATAGGATTTTGTCAAAGTTTAGTTAAATCTTATACGAATGTATGAAAGTTCTGTCAGTTCTGATTAATGGAGACCAACCTAATTCAGGGGAAAAGGTAACGAAAAAGAAAAACAAGAGAAAAATATGAACATATATGTTTTAAAAGTAATTAGATCCAAACAAAAACAGATCAAAGAAAAGAAATACATTTACTATAAAAACAAAAAAAAGCGAATCAATTTTAAGTGAATGAATGAATGAATTAATTAATTAAAAAATAAATTGATAGTAAATAAAAAACGATAAATTTACATGACTGAAATATAACAGCAATCCAATGTCATTCTAATTTATTAAAAATCATTTTCATCAAAAACTAAATATTTTAGATATACATTATTCATTTAGGTGATATTTCAATAATCAATAATAAATGTCTGGAATATGAAGAACAGATAAAGAATGTGCCATGACTGAGATATAGGAAAAAAATATTATATATATTATGTCTAAAAATATTATTACACTACATACAATGCAGATAGAGAAAACTTCTTGTGAACATCAGATGCTAATGGGATTTTATCATAGTTCTATATACTATGGCTTCTATGAAACTAGAAAATGAGAATATCTATATACAAAACTTGGTTCAAAAATATCACTACAATTATAGAGAAGAGACTTTTTKAAGCAAATTTGAAAAGGAAATTGCACAAACAAAATGAACTAATCAAAATAAAAAAAATCAAATGAATGTCCAATAAGAAATTATATTTACAATACTACTATTATCTGAACATTGTTATTAGAGTGATGTATACATTACATTTCGTTCATTTTTGCTATGCAATCTCCATTTGACAATTTGCAGTGCTATCCCTTAATAGGGTTATTATATAGCAAAGGCCAGATCAACAGTTTGTCCTGGCTCAATACGAACAACATGCGTATGTTCCCTGGCAGCACCCCAGCGGCCTGCTGTCACAGCATAACTTCCAGGAACTACCTCTACGTGAACATCTTCTGACTTTTGCAACTGAAAAAACAGACAATATGTTTTAATATATCGGCAATATCAATACTAGCTGTCATTGAACTGGTAGAGAACTATACTTGCATACATGTTATATACTTCACAATCATGATAGATATGCAGTGAAAAGGCAAATTCAGTGCAGTGTGTTATACTTACAGGGTTCCTGTAGGTAGGAGATGAATACTGTGGTTTATGGAATCTGTTGATGTGATGTCTGTCTGGAGGGCTGCATCCTGSTCGACCTCTGTAGTATCGCTGAAAAACACAGAGAAAATAATAGGTGTTCAAAATGCCATATGGATTTTTAAGTACTACACTTAATACTTCTTAAGTCTACAATTTCAAGTGTCATGAAGAATTAGAATTATTATATATGCATCATCATAAATCATATCTTACAATTAGTACACGTACTAGATCTTCATTTGCTTTACATTGATAATGAAAAAAATTGTCATTAATTAATCATTAATCATTTTAT